CGTACTGCGCTCCACCCTCGTTCTCGCTTTGCCAGACTGCGTACTTGACAAAGCGGGGCGTGATGCTGGAAAAAGCTTAGGATAAAGCGACTGCATGCGACAAGGGACAAGCAGGAGGCAGAGGGGAGAATATGCTGGAGATGCAAGGGAGAGAGCGAGGGGGAGGTGAGAAGATGACGTCAGATTCCCACGGGGGATTAATGTGACAGAGGGAAACATGGCTGTTTGCATACATCACTCGCTCTTAACTTTCCTCCACCAACACCATTCACCTCCTCTCCCAATCCTCCACGTCCTGCTCCGCATCATGGCCGGCGACCACAAGGTATGTCCCTCGTCCCCGCCCCTCCTCCCGACGTCCTCCTTCTCTAACAGTCCCCTCTCCACAGTGTCCAGTCTGCCAATCCACTTTTACCCGACCACAGCATGTCGCCCGACATATGCGTTCCCGTGAGTGGCTTCTTCCCCCCAGCGCCCGCCCTCCCGTGGGGCGCGCCCCACCGCTCCCCGATCCCCCCTCGCTTACCACCCCTCTCCTTCTAGACACCGGGGATCGCCCTTACAAATGCCAACACTGCGGCGATCAATTCGCACGAAGGTACGTTTCTCCATTTCTCGCTACTCCGCTCGTGTTTCCCGCGACCTTGTTTGACCGAGACCTTTCACTCGTCAACAGCGACCTGCTCTCGAGACACATCAACAAGTGCCATGCCTCCGAAAAGCCCCCAACAACCACTGCACCTTCCAGAAGGAAGGGCACCGCCGCCGCTTCTAGAGCAACAACATCTAAGCAGGCCTGTGATCAGTGTGTAACCTCCAGTCTTCCTTGCGATGGCGCCAACCCGTGCTGTACGTCCCATACTCTTTTCCTCCCAGCCTATCTTCCTTACCGTTCACCGCTCATCAGCAAAATGCGTTCAACGAAAATGCCGATGCACGTACGTCAAGTTCCACCGTCAGACAGCACCCGCCGGTCCCGGCCATCCCGTACCGACTATCCCTGTCGCAGGCGGTCGTCACGCAATCTCCCTCGGCGCGCCCCGACTTCCCGACGACTTCCTCCTCGCCCCGCCTCCGGGGACGATGCCTATGGGTTCCATGTATGCTGCCCCTCATCAGTACTCCATGGCCAACTCCTCCACCGTCTACCCTCACGACTTCACCTCGCTTCCGCCCCTCGCCTCTGCACTTGCCCCTTCAGAGAGCTCCATCCCTGGAATGCTCCAAGCCCATCGGGAGGCCATGGAGAGCCCAGATGCTATGGCGCGTATGCGCGCACAAGCTGAGCTGCTTGGTCGGGCTGGTGTTATGCCCAACGGTACCCTCACCCTTGCCCATCCCGCCCCCATCGCTGACTCGAGTGCTGCTCTCCCAGGCCTCTACGCCGCAGCGGCGAGTGCCCAGGGAAACCACTACGACAACAGATACGATCTACCCCAGACCACCCAATGGGATGGTCCACGTCAGTACATCCAGACGAAGGATTTTGAGGCGCCGTACGGCCCACGCAGTCAGAGTCACCCCACGGTCTCATCGTACTCTGCGGCGGGTGCTGCCGGCGGCGAGCCCTCCCTGCAAACGCACCCGCCGACGACCGCAACGTCCTCGTCTTACGATGGGGCTGCACCGGCATACCATAATAGCGGACTGCCGCCAGCCGCGCAGTTGCACCAACCTCAGCATCACCACTCACGTTCTGATGACTTGAGCTCTGAGGGCGACTTCAACAGTGACGCCGGTAGTTCTGGCACCGGTCCTAGCCATTCCATCCCTAGCAGCGCAAACTCGAGCGCCGTCCACCTCCCTCTGCCTGGCTTCAACAATCTCCGTACTCGCGCGGATGGCGGTGGCAGGGATCGCTTCCAAGCTCCAAACCCTAATGCGCCCGAGGGCGAGGGTGGTTTCTCCTCGGCGTTTGGCTTGATGAGCCTTGACGACCCCAACGTTCTCGCCGGCATCGCGAGCGACGGTCAGCCATTCTTCTCTGGTCTTAGCTTCACTGGCGGAAAGTCTGGTGGCAACAACACCAGTGGGCTATCGCTCGCGACTCCGACACAGCATGACCTGCTTGCACAATTGAAGAGCGCGGGTGGCCGCGAAGGAATGGACAACAAGGAGATGCAAGATTTCTGGAAGATGTATCTTCGAACGCCTCTAACGGGTCCTAATTCCTCCGGGAACCACGGCATGATGTTCCCTCTCCAGACACCGACCGGGCCCGGCCTACAGCTTGGTCAGAATGTAGGCCAGGGTTCCGGCAGGCCGAGCCAGTCTCGGAGGCATTCGCGCGTTGCGAGTTTGCCCAGCATGAAGACACCGCCATTGTTCGCGGAGGAGCGCCTTGGAGGCAACGGATATGGTCCGCGACCTTCGACCGGCGACTACGACTCGCACGCGAACCAGCAAGGACAAAGCCAGCAGGGTGGCCCCCAGGGCGGATACAACTCAACCATCCGAACGACCCTTTACGATGGCGACGATCTCAAGAGCTACGAGCGAGCAGTCCTCGCGCGCAAGGCGCCGATGACCCTCAACCTCGTGCCGAAGCGCAAGGGCTCCATCGCTCATCCCGGAGCTCCGGCATCGGATGGTCCGAACTCCACGATGGGCAAGAGCAAGAGCATGAGCCCGGTCGTGCCCCACGCAGGGTTCCCGAGCGGCCTGCAGGGCAGCACTGGGGGCAGCAAGATCGCGGACATTCTGAACCGGCCGCAAAGCAGTTCCAGTACGGGAACGAACGAGAGCGGCGGGTCCGGGATGTCGGTTCCCGCCAGCAATGCGAGCATCGCGAGCCAGGCAAGCTCGTCTCTCGCGTACGCGTTTGGTGGTGAGGGGTCCGCTGACGGTCAATCGCAGTCGCAGTCGTCGTATCAGCCTGCACCACCGCAGCCGAACGATTACGCTGCGGCGACGTATCG